AACTCGTGTACACTTTAAGACACAAAGTGGGCAAAAATAGAAAAACAGAGTCAAAGCGATTTTTACAAAATATTTATCTTTTTAAATAATTTTTAATATAAATATTAGCAAAATAGTAAATATATAAACATAAGCATATAAAAATCGATTTTTTTATATTACATAGAATGCTATGGAAAATCGAGAAGAAGCAAAATGTTAACTGGTGCTTTACGTGCAATAGTCATTTAAATGTTCTGGAAATCTTACTCTTCTTCCAGAACGCGTCGTCTAAAGTTTATTCTCTGATACTATTGAAGTATCATCGGGTGTGTTGCCTGTCGGTTGCGGTATTATGAGTGTAGGAGTCGTGTTGTGCGATTGTACCGAAGGAAAGTCGACGTGAATAGGATTTCCTTCTAAATACGCTGCTTTTAAGCGACCGATGCTGATGCTATCGTTTGTTCCGTTCTTATCGACTATATAGTACTTAGATTCACGTTGAAGAACTTTGAAAGGTCCTTCGTATGCTGATTCGAATGGTCGTCGAAATGAGTCTCGACGAACGAAAACGTGTGTACCATATCGTAAGTCAGGTTGAACGAAAACATCGGTTGATTGTGGTCGAGTGGAAGCAGGTTTAACTGAACGCATTGAGTTTGTAAGCCTGTTCGTGTAGGAGATTAGATCCATGTTCATTGAGGAGGACGAAGGATCCACGAATTCTCCCTGAAGTCGAAGTGTCGTTCCATATACCAGTTGAGCCGTAGTGTATCCAATGTCAGCCTTGACTGCATTGCGAATACGTAGTAAGACGAATGGCAGAGCGTTGGTACACTGTGAAACGTTTGCAGCTGATAGTGAAGCTTTTAGTTGTCGGTGCAAACGTTCTGCCAACCCGTTTACTTGTGGGTGGTAGGCGGTCGTTCGGAAGCGAGTGATTCCTAAAAGTGTGGTCAGACGACGGAAAAGTTCAGATTCAAACTGCCGTCCGCGGTCTGTGGTGATGGTTGAAGGGCAACCGAAGTTTGCTACCCATCGTTCGACGAAGGGACGGGCCACTGTTTCAGCAGTGATGTTCTTGATAGGTACTGCTTCTGGCCATCGAGTGAAACGGTCTACGCAGGTTAAGAGTTAAGAGTATCTATTTGAATCTGGTAAAGGTCCTACCAAATCCAGATGAACATAGTCGAAACGAGCATCGGGAGCTTTAAACGAGGCTAAGGGAAATTTGTTGTGTCTGATAACCTCAGATTTTGGCAGCTTACACAGGAGCGTGCCCACTCCTTCACGTCTCTATTCATTCCAGGCCAGCAAAACCGTTCTGCTATAAGCTTGATGGTTGCACGAACACCTGGATGAGAAAGTTTGTGTAACGTATTGAAGACATTGCGTCGATAACGTTTCGGCACGATTGGGCGATCCCTACCTGTAGATGTGTCACACAGTAAGGTTTCCTTACCTGTTCCCATCTGTTTGATGCGTAATTTAAGGGTTGTGAACGATAACTCGTGCTGAAGATCACTGTCTTCTTTTTGAAGTTGGGCGAGTTTAAGAAGGTTGATTCCTTGGAAACTGTTCAAGGAAGTTATTCGAGACAACGCGTCTGCGACTACATTGTTTGCTCCAGAGATGTGTTGAATGTCTGAAGTAAACTGCGAAATGTAGTCTAGTTGTCGATACTCACGGGGAGAGTACTTGTCTGAAGGAGAGCTTAGAGAGAAGGTGAGCGGTTTATGGTCCGTGAAAAAAGTGAATTCACGACGTTCGATGTAGTGTGGAAAATGTCGTACAGCACAATACATAGCTAAGAGTTCCCTACCGAATGTGCTGTACCTCGATTCGGTGTCTAGCAACCATCTAGATAAAAATGCCATTAGTTGCTAGGAGTTGTTAACCCATTGTTGTAAGACTCCTCCGATCGCTGAGTCGGATGCGTCTACTGCGATACTAATGGGTGCTTGAGTGTTCTGATGTGCAAGCATTGTTGCTTTCGCGATGAGCTCCTTAATTGTAGAGAATGCTTTTCGTGCGGTGTCGTTCAAATTAATGGATTTCGCATTTCCATGAAGTTGGTCGGTTAGCGGTTTCATGAGTAAAGCGCATTTAGGTACAAATCGTCTATAGAAACATACCGGGCCGTTAAACGTGCGTAATTGCTTGACGGTGGTCGGTTCTGGGTAATCCAGAATGGCCGCCACTTTGGTTCTAAGAGGTCGAATGCCTTGAGCATCGATAGTGTGTCCTAGGAAGTCTAACGAGTCAGTTCCGATTTGGCATTTCTGAACGTTTGCAGTAATGCCATGTCTTTGTAATCGTTCGAAAACAAGATCCAGATGCTTGAGATGTGATTCTCTGTCCGGACTTGCGATTGGGCAGTCATCAACATGCGCATGTGCGAAGTTGAGACCTCGAAAATCGTCGTCTATAAACCTTTGGAAGGTTTGCGCAGCGTTTCTTAGGCCGAAAAGCATACGCGAAAATTCATAGAGTCCGAAAGGAGTTATGATAGCTGTTTTCGGTATGTCGTCAGTAGCCATAGGGATTTGGTTATACGCTTTAACCAAGTCGAATTTGGAAAAGACAGTAGTACCTTTCAAGGTAGCTGTCAAATCGTGAATGTGAGGCAACGGGTAACGATCGGGAATGGTTTTCGCATTCAATCGCCGATAGTCACCAGTTGGACGCTAGTCGTTGCTGTCCTTTTTAGAGACCATGTGCAACGGAGATGCATATGGGCTATTTGACGGTCGTATGATTCCTAAGTCTATCATGTGCTTTAGAGATTACAGGTGGTCCTGTAGTCGTGATGTGATGTGTAACGTTGCTGGTTGCGTTTGATATATCCCAGGATACTTATCGAGTAGCGGTTGACAAAGTGGGTCTATCGTTTGCTTAACTGTGACTGGGGATAATCTGCAGCCAGAAAATAAATTAGTGTTTCCGTCTACTAGCCTCCGTTTGCGCGTGTCGATGATTAGATTATGGTGTTGTAAAAGGTCCATACCAATGATTTGCATAGAAACATCTGCAACAACGAAGACCCAGTGAATGAGTTTGCGTAAACCCACGTTAAGGTAAACGTACTTTTTGCCATACGTAGCGATAGGTTTTCAGTTTGCCGCCTGTAAGTTTAGAGCCGATTCGTGAAGCCGGTCGTTGTTATTCGCTGGGAGAACGCTAACTCCAGTGTCGACGAGATAGCGAACTCTCGTTGTGAAATCTATGACGTATAACAGACGACTATGTTCGCCGGCTACGGTTGCCGTTAATGCGAGCGGGCTTGGAAGTTTCCCGAGTTGTCTTTCGAGTCAGTCGGTTTCGTGTTGGGAAAATTGCAGGGTTTTCTGCAATTTCTGGAAGACTTTCCATACTGGTTATGATACCATCACCAGTCGGGGTTATCCGTCTCTCGCGGTCTAGAGACCGATTGCTTACGTGAAATGCTTCTACGTGGGGTGCGCGATCTCTTACGGTCGGTACGAAGATTGAGATAACACGTGAGTGTATGACATAACTCGGTTATGTCATTCTGAGTCGTTTGAGGCTTTTCTTTGACTGAAAATACCTCGGTAGTAGAAGATTTCGTGATTTTTAAGATACGATCGACAGATGCAGCCAGTTCGTCTAAGGCGTTGTTCCGAAACGAGACCAGAACCGCTTGCACCTGTTGGGGAAGCTTAGACAAGAAAAGTTGTTTGAATAGGCCTTCGTCGAAAGTTCTTAGGCCAATCACTTCTCTCATCCCTTGCAACATGTCCGTCGCAGAACCGTGATGCAAATCTATGTTATTAAAGAGTTGATCTAACCTTTGTCGATCGGTTAGGTCTCTGCGTTTAAGAATCGAACGTTTTAAGGTTTCGTAAGGTTCAGAAATATCACAAGTAAACATACTAGGTGTTACGTACCTGTTGAATTCGCGCCGTAGTGCCTTGACTACTGCGAGGAATTGTGCACGTGTGTCGATCACGCCGTGCTCGTGGAAGTCGGCTTCTGCGTAGCAACACCAGGCTTCGATATTGTCGGGCCAGAAGGGCATGAGTTGGAACGAGGGTGGGGACATGGTGTTAATATTAAATACCTTAGGAGTCTGTTTGGTCATAGGGAAATATTAAGTACGAGAATGCGAGTAAAAAATATAAATATGCTGATACACGGGGGAAAAAGAAATATCACAATGTATAAAAATTAAAAAATAAGGCAATGATATATAAAAATCCCAAGAAGGAACAGACTCACAGTTGCAATTAAGTGTACCAGATCACGTCGGTCTCACCAATGAAGATAGCACACTTATTCAGTGTTTAACAACGCTTTTACCAGCAACACCTAATATATGGCGTACCCACCAAGAGAAATCAAAAGACAGAGTCGAGGAGATCGGAAGAGTGTATTTGGCGATTACCAATATATCGGAATTCTCTGATCTAATCTGGCTAGCGATTGCGGTAGGTGTTGAGCACAGCGTTACCACACGTGATCTGGTGCGGATGCATGACCGAGCGCCTTCAGCTAGATGAGTCCACTAAAACGTATGGTCAGCATCCAATGTTGAAAACGTACTGATCTATTTATTTTGGGGATTTATTTACCTCTCCATTAGGCTTCGAGCGTCTTATGTGTGCGGTGGGACTTAAACGGGTGCACATCTTATGGAACCACCCTTTACACTCATCAAACCGCGTTTCTTCTTCCACAGGGAATAGATACTTTGGCAGTTCACATTAATAAGTACCACCAACCATCGTAATCAGATTAAGGTTTAAACACATTTTGATCACACGTGTCCAGGTTAATGAGAAAGAAGGTACCATAACACAAAGTTTAGCGAAATTTCAAACCTTGACTGAAGTGCTTGAAATTAAACTACATCAAGAATGCTTTTTGATGCAACAAGTACACAAAAGCAAAGATGGTTACAACCAGTACTAAATCACTGCCGTTTTGGAACACAGTCATTTTCGTTGATATAGTCAAAGAGAGTGTATATCTCCACAGTAATACTAATTACAAGCAATAATATGGATCAATTGACATCTTATTCTTACTACTGTAGACTGAAACTAAAAAATGTTGGTTTCTTTCATCGTGACCTTGCGCGCAAATCAACAGTCGTAATTCAGGATAATTATTTTGTTTGTCAATGCAAGTAAATATAAGAGTTTACGTTCATATTTAGCTTTATGTTCTCGTTGCTGCGCATTGTTCATCCTTATACAGATTTTTTCATATCAGCTTCAATCTCCCAAGTTTGGGGAAATTCGGGGGTATTTCAGATTTCAGATTCAGATTTGTGTAGTAAGGACAGAAGGCCTACGGCCTATGTTATTCCTTTTCTAGTATGCTTCTGTGAGTGTCCAGTCTTCTCTTGAAAGAGTCAATTGAAGGTGCGGATACCACTGCTTCAGGCAGCAGGTTCCAAGTATTGATGACTCGGTGTGAAAACCTGTATGCCAGAGGTATTTTGTTCGTTCTTGGCTTTTCTACTCGCCTACTATGTCCTCTGAGGTGTCCCGATCTAGTGGGAAGAAAGAGAGAGAATAAGTTAGGTCCGAAATCATTTCTCAGTATTCTGTACATCAATATTAGATCTCCCCTTAGTCTGCGATAGGACAGAGTAAAGAGGTTCAGTTTTTCAAGCCGCTCTTCATATGATAAACCCCGGAGTTCCGGAATCGCACGCGTAGCTGCCCTCTGTACCTTTTCTAGTATGTCTGAGTCACCTTTTAAACAGGGGCTTGCAGCCTGAACACAGTTCTCTAACTTAGTTCTCACTAAGGATGTGTATAATGTGGTGAACATGGTAGTATCAAGCTTAGTGAATGTCCTTTTTAAAGCCCAGAGGGTTCGAAACCCCTTAACTGCGACCTCCCGGCAATGGGCCGTCGTCTTAAGATCATTGCTCACGGTCACCCCTAGGTCCTTATGAGACCGGACTACGGGTAATGACACATCTCCTATGTTGTACGTATTAACCTTTGAATCCCCCAAGTGCATGTAGACACACTTTTCCGAGTTGATAGGCATTAGCCACTCTTTAGACCAGTTTATCATATTATTTAAGTCCGCCTGAAGAGTAAATGTGTCTGTGTCTCCAGTTATTACTCGCCAAATTTTTACATCGTCAGCGTATAATAACATTGGAGACTGTACTATACTTGTAAGATCATTAACGTACATTATAAAAAGTAAAGGACCTAGGACGGAACCTTGGGGTACTCCACTAAGTACTGGTCTCCAGATGGAGCACTTGGAATTTATTCTTACTTTTTGCCTACGACCTACTAGGAAATCCTTAATCCATTTTAAAAGAGGTGAAATTGTACTTTGATTTCGTTGTGACATTCTCGCCAGCATTCAACATTCCAGTGAAACAGCTAATATGTCCTATTGTTTTTCCAGACTCTTAACTAACCAGAAGAAAGATTACCTTTTGGGACTGAAGTATTGCCGATGTTTATTATTATCAATAAAGATGGGTGGGCATGTTAGTCGTGGTCGAGATAATCAATCACTCATTGACGAACTGGTACAAAACGGTCTCACATTAAACCCAGAGACTGAGCGTGCTCTACGTCTAGTCGACAGAGGGGGTTACTTCAGCGAAAAAAGCCCACGAGCATACATGGATATGGCGTGGAGGTCTGGTTCTCTCCATCTTTCAGCACCCAGCATCTACATTGTAGCTCTCAAAAACCTCGATATCCAACCAGGAAATTGCTTTTTAAATGTTGGTAGTGGAACAGGATACCTTAGTACAGTCATTGGCTTGTTACTAGGTAGGTTTTTTAAGATAAAAAATTGAGCTTTTTCAACTTCTAAATGAGTTTATAGAAATTAACGTATATAGGTATTCAGGCAGGTTGAATAGAACTAACAGTTTACTACGTGTGTATGTGTCATCACCGTTATTTTTACTCTACATGAAATCTGAATTTGAGATTCAGTGTTTATATGTTTTGTCAGGCTTTAATATTGATGTGTGCCTGTTCGCTATCCTTATAGAATTTTACTGGATCTTAGTCACTAGCCTAAAGCTCTTGTTTGCTATGAATGTACAGCATGATGCCATTATTCATGCTCTCCTAACTTCTTTTTTATATAGTGTGTTGACTACTGGTCAGTCTTGAGTGCTGTTAGAGGTATGAGGGCGGTTATCACTTCCCGGCTGCTCACACTGTGGGAGGGTTCTTCTGGAGGTACATGAAGTAGAAATCGGGTTAGGGGTAGTCTTAGTGACTTGAGAGCGTGACTGCAGTGCACAAGGGACAACTGCTTGAGGTCGGTCACACATGACATTTTTCGTGTTAGCTCCGTACTTGTTCGGACCGTACAACCGAAGACGGATATCCGCGGGATAAGGCGAGATGTACATTTTTAGGGTCGACCTATTCTAACCCCACCCTTTATTGTGGGAAGGCAGCATCGCTTTTATGCTGGCTGTCTGAAGGAAACATCTTACTGCCGTCACACCTCTGTACAGTCAGCAGTACGACTTTGCCCTCGGACCTTGGGTTTTCCGCTCTTCAAACGACCTTTCTGGCATGATAGGACCTCGAGGAACGATTGTTCCAGCAAGTATAACTCGATCGGTTCATTACGATGGGCAAGCCCGACCACCACGTCAAGGTAGTAGCACAATACCTTACAAGCAACGGGTGCCTGTAGAAGGTTTTCCCATAGATTGGAAAGTGTAGAATCTACACAAATTCGCGTGTAACCAATTAGAAATATGTGTAGATGGGGATATTGGTCACCAATAAAACAATTCTTTAGATTTAACCTCAATAAACAAACCAATATCGTGGAATATTACTCATAGGAATGATTTGGGATATGGAAATAACCTCTTGTTTAATGATATTTTGATAAATACCAGCCTCGTTTGTTCTACAAACTGTCTACCTGGTTTCCTCTTCAAGTGTACCCATCCACTTATTTAGACGTACATGGATATCTGTCTAGGTTTTGTCACTGAAAAAGTTTACGTTTTTCAGAATTTTCCGTATTTAATGAGTGGTAAGATAAATTCATTTGAGATGGTGAAGATTTGTAGCTCAGGTGGATGATTTTGAAAAACAGTGCGTACATAGGCTCCATCCTCATCCATTTAAGGCTTCATCTAACGAAGAAGTTATTAAAATATATTGGTTACAGGTAAAAAGCATCAAAGTAACCCCTAGTGAGGGTCGGGTAGATGACACAACTGATTGACTTGAAACATTATCATACAAGGCTCGGGAGAGGAACCAATGACAGTCGGGTCGTAATTTTCCCTGACATGCCTCATAAATTTATAACGAAGTTCCTGGAAAGGTTATAAACTGTCTCGTTTGTATTGTATTTGAACCCTCTTCCGTCATATACTGTTTTTATTAAATATTTTGTTTATTTTTTCGTTTCATATATACTTTTTCCTCACCATTCTATTCAGACTTTGTGTAGTACAGCCTATTTTTAATGCTGTGTTATGCTAGATTTTATAGCCTTAAATATCAAATATAAATAACGAGTTATTCAACAATAACGCAGCAACTTTATTTAAAAATATTGGGTTGTCTAATGTAGGCAAAGTTCATCTTATCAGTTCATTAAAAACATAAATGTCTCCCAGAATTGGTGATCGGAAACTATGTTGAACTTGTCGTCTGTGTTTAAAAAACTGACGAGGAAGATGAGATCACTATACGTACATCTTTTCTTTGTACTATCGTAAGAGTTTACTTAGTTAATATGTATATTGTTCAGTTGGCTTACTTAACATCATAAGATGTCTGGTCGGACTACTTTACATAAGACGCTGTGTCTATTGTTGATGAACTACTGACTGATTCTCTTCCCCTGTACTTTGAGGTGAATAAACCACCATTTTTTGATAGTCATCAAGATTAACTCGTGCCAATAAATTTGCGCACCTAACCAGCCTGGTTTGAGAAATGATGACTGCTGTTGTAGATATGCTAATCACAGCACGTAAATGGATTTATATCTGTAGTCATAATTATTTGAAGAAATTAGTTACAACAATTCTCCAAAACATAAAAACACGTTTCATTTAAGTCATTTGTCTGCACTTTCAGTAAAATAACGACTAGTTATAGTCTATATTCTAACTAGGTATTCCGTTTACAGAATTTAAACGTTTGTGACAATATTCGATTTACTATTGAGTCTTTCGAATACACTCGCAACGTGGAAACTAAAGTTTTAAGATTAGAATACTAAGTAGTTTTCTGTAATCTTTTGTCGATCAATAATCTTTATGCTGTCAAGCACGAGATTAACGACTAAATCTGTCTACAATTATTTTGTAAAGTAAGTTCTTTTTAAAACAATTTCTCTGTGGTACCTTTTGAGTCTTGTTTATTAACTCACTCAGTTTTAACCGACTTTCCTGACACATCATGTGAATAGTTTAGATATTTAACTTTCAAAATATGCATTACAGTTTCGAACCCTAATTGCTTAACTACGGAGTTTTCGTAATTTCACTAATATTCACACAACAGATTTAATTTAGATAGAATTATGGAGAACTGGACGTGATTATCTTAGTTTTACTTCAATTTCTACGTTTTGTATTTTCCTCATCTTTCTATGTGTTATAATCTCTTTCTTCTTACGGTTATGACCCAGCTATTCCTATTGCTTAGTATTCTCGGACACCGATTCACTCGACAAGTCCCCAAATCAAAACACGGTTGAACAGGAAAGAGATTATATTCCAAATAGCAAGTCAGAAGCCAGTAGGAAGCACAATAGGGAAAACGTCAGTATATTTATAGTTTTTACATAAGAAGATTCTAGAGTCTTCTCCAACTATCGACCAGTGCTGATTGGATAAGAATTAGCCAATCAGCGTGCACCAAAGCAATCATGCATTGAGCATGCTTTAATCTAGTCTATGTCCCGCTAACACCTCCCCTCTGAGCAGATTCGTAGGATCTGGTGCTAGGGTCCAACTGCGACTGAGTGACTGGCTTGTGCTTTCGATTAGTCCATCGTCTAGGCAATGAAGAATTATCACTTTTTCCTTGCACAGAGACTGACATGTCTGTTCCCGGCGTTTTGATTTTTCTTAAAAAAAAGTATGCATAACTTTTAATTCTCCAACGTTCTCCTCCTCCGCGAAACAATGTCGGATCCTTATATCTCCAAGTTACAAATAATAGGACTTTATTTAAACGACGTTTCTCGCATTGAATGTCGGATCCACTAGAAACGACTAGATGATAATGAACGACCTTTGATTCGAGGTTAAAGTTTAATTCTTCTGAAGCATTACTTTCAAATCCATTAGGAATTTCATCAGTGGATAATGGATCATTACGGAAATCATCATCTAACAAAATTAAATGAGACTTTTGACCATAATTTGACTCAGCTGATATATTTTCCTGATTTTTATGAGAAATTTCATCAAAATAACATGCATTGTTCTGAGAACCCATGTCTGATACATTGTCATTAGAAATCGGATAAGCTGATTCAATATAAGTTTCTGTCTCACAATGATTTTGAGTAACATTCGGTATAATTGGGTTCGTTGTGTCACTGCAGTTATTTTCTGAATACGAGTCCCCATAGCTTTCTTGGTTAATATCACGTGGACCATAAATTTGTTCTAGCTGAAAGTTATTTTCAGAGCTAGACAGGACCAGTAGTGCTTCATTCAATTCTGGACTCCGGGCTTCATCTACAGGGTCTGACTCTTGATAATCTCGTATTGCCACAACTTTATGAGCATTCAGCACAGGATTTTCTTGCTGTGAGCCGGAAACGTTACAAATATTACGTTCTGATTCAGGTATAAAGGGATTTGAACCCTCCACTAGATATGCTTCTGAAATGTCTGTTACTGCATCATAAACAGATTTCTTATTTTCTGGTCGAGTGAAAAGTGTGCTCAATAGTTGTTGTTGCAAGGCTAACAACTTCTGCTGGTGCTGTAATATTAGCCGCAACTGTTCTAAAGAAATCGTCATTTTTCTTTAGTTTTTCCCCGTCGCCACTGTTTTAATCTCTTTCTTCTTACAGTGTTCTAGCAGACATTGTCAACAGAGAATGTGAACGTTTCAAGTTACGCTCGTTGACTGATGACCAATTTAAATGCTTAATATTCATCAAAGCTCTTCAGTCACCACAAGATGCTGAGATCAGGACTAGACTTTTGGCTCGACTGGACCAAGACCCAAACGTCACACTCAGGACATTGACAGATGAGTGTAAGCGTCTACAAAGCATCAGACACGACAACGAGTTGATTGAACAGGTAAATCCTAATTTAACCTGCGGTAGTGTCAATACTATTACTAGGTCAAAAGTTCAGAAGCCGGTAACAACTCGTAACAAACCAAGGACTGCATGCTGGTTATGCGGTGATTGGCATTATGCAAGATTCTGTCCGTTCAAGAAGCATAAATGTCAGGAGTGCAACAAACGTGGACTTAAAGAAGGTCATTGTCCACCGAAGCGTACGTCTCAGCCTAAGAAGAAGCATAAACGTCCTCGACATGTGAAATCAGCCGAGTCCAAATCTCTTTCTTTGGTAGCTGCCTTTCAAACAAACTATGACATTCAGAGAAAGTATGTTACCATCCAGATAAACGGCATATCAGCTCGTCTTCAAATTGACACGGCATCAGATATCACGTTAGTGTCTAGAGAAACGTATAACTTGCTGGGTAAACCGCCAATGAAGCCATCTAAGAAAAGGGCTAAAAACGCATCAGGTGGTGTGCTAAAACTGGTTGGTGAATTACAGTGTGAATTTTCCTTCAATGGAACTAACTGTACAGGAATATGTTACCTAACAGAACGGCCGAACCTTGATCTTCTTGGTCTAGATATGTTAGACAAACTTGGAATAATGGATGTACCAATTAACAGTGTCTGTAACGTATCGTGTTCATCATTGGACACCCCAGTACTTCCAAAGAAGACAGGTGAAAGGTTACTAGAAAAACTGAAAAGAAAGTTTGCCTCTGTTTTTCAGAATAGCCTTGGCCACTGTACCAAGATGAAAGCGCATTTACCAGTAAAACCAGATGCCATACCTATTTTTCGCCCGAGACGTCCTGTATCATATGCTGCTCTTGAGCTAGTCGACCAGGAACTTAATCGCTTGCAACAGGCTGGTGTAATCCGACCAGTTAACTACTCTGCATGGGCCGCACCGATCGTAGTGATTAAGAAGGCCAATGGGACTATACGCATATGTGCCGATTTCTCGACCGGTTTAAATGCTGCATTAGATGTATATCAATATCCATTACCAGTTCCTGAAGACCTGTTTGCCAAGCTTAATGGTGGGACATGCTTCGCGAAAATAGACTTCTCTGATGCTTATCTCCAAGTGGAAGTAGATGAAGATAGTAGAGAGCTTCTGACTATTAACACTCATCGAGGGTTATTTCAATACACTCGTTTACCATTTGGCATCAAGACCGCACCCGCCATCTTTCAGCAAATAATGGATACGATGCTAACAGGTATACCTGGTACAGCAGCTTATCTAGATGATATCATAGTTATGGGTTCAACTGATAGTGAACTTTCTGATCGACTACACCAAGTCCTTAACCGAGTGTTGGAGTATGGTTTCCAACTACGTGAGGAAAAATGTATCTTCTTCATGCATTCGATCAAATACCTTGGTTTTATCTTAGATAAGAACGGTCGCCGACCAGACCCTGCCAACATCGAAGCCATTCAGAAGATGTCTGCACCAACTGATGTTTCTTCATTAAGATCCTTCTTGGGGTTAATCAGTCATTACAGCACATTCTTGCCTGAAATGCATCGAGTGAGAGGTCCCGTAAATGAATTACTATCGAAAGATAAACCTTGGCAGTGGTCAGCAGAATGTCAAGCATCTTTTGACAGAGTCAAATCAATGCTCAGCTCAAAGATTCTTTTGACGCACTTCGATCCCTGCTTGGAAATTGTTGTTGCATCTGATGCCTCTAGTCATGGAGTTGGAGCAGTGATATCTCACGTGTTTCCGGATAAATCAGAAAAGACAATTGCCCATGCTGCTAGATCACTTACTCCATCCGAGCGAAACTACAGCCAAATTGAAAAGGAAGCTCTTGCAATCATTTTCGCAGTCAAAAGATTTCATAAAATGCTCTATGGTCGTACATTTACTCTACTGACAGATCACAAACCTTTGATTGCAATCTTTGGTTCTAAGAAAGGAATCCCTGTCTATACGGCTAATAGACTACAGCGCTGGGCAACAATGCTCCTGAGTTATGATTTTAATATCAAGTATCAGTCGACAAATACTATCGGTCAAGCTGACGCTCTCTCCCGATTAATTGGAGTTCAACATCCTGGACCAGAGGATATAATCATTGCCTCCACAGCAGTAGACCCAGAAATACGAAGTATAGTGGCAGATGCCATTCGAAACACTCCAGTGTCGTCAGATGAAGTCAGGGAAGAAACGCTTCGAGACCCAACACTACAAGAAGTTAGAAAGTTCCACCTAGAAGGGTGGCCCTCGAAAATCAGTTCCACAGAGCTTCAACAGTTTTACCAGCGAAGACTCTCTCTTTCAATCATCGATGACTGTCTGCTGTTTGCCGAACGTGTCATAATTCCCAAGAAGCTACAACCAGCAGTGCTTGAACAGTTGCATGCAGGACATCCTGGGATAAATCGCATGAAAGCACTAGCACGAAGTTATGTATACTGGCCGCATTTAGACACCCAACTGGAGCAGCTATCCCGTTCGTGTACCAAATGTGCATTAGCAACAAAGGCACCGCGAAAAGCAGAGCTGCAATCATGGCCAATACCACAGTCACCGTGGCAGCGTATACATTTGGACTTTGCTGGTCCACTTCATGGACAAACTTACCTTTTGGTGGTTGATGCATATAGCAAGTGGCCAGAAATTTTTCTCATGGAACACCCTACTGCAAGCTGCACAGTCAGTAAACTACGTCAACTATTCAGTCGTTTTGGAATCCCGGAATTGATAGTTAGTGACAACGGAACACAGTTTACGTCCGGAATCTTCTCACAATTTTGTCGGCAGAACGGAATCCAGCACCTGCGAACACCTCCATTCCACCCCCAATCAAATGGCCAAGTGGAACGCTTTGTGAGTACATTTAAAAATGCTCTAAAAAAATCCAAAGGGGAAGGGACTACTGAAGATATCTTAGAGAGGTGCCTGTTTATTTATCGCTCTACACTATGATTATATTGTTCTTATCACCAACTATATTTTTAATTTTACTCACATTATTCCCTTTACGTTGTATCACTGACTTGTAAAAACCGAAATGATTACCTTACTTTGCCGTTTTTGCGTGGAACTATTTTTATTCGATAAGTAAAAATAATGTATTTGTAATATCCCAATGAGTAGAAAAATCAGATTTTTTGACGTCTCATGACTCAGTGTAAGCCACTTCTTCAGAGAATAAATAACCAAATCAAGAATATTAGGTGCGATCAATCAAAAACAGGTCTGATCCAGTCAATGTCATGTCATCCCTGCCAAGTTGATTCATAAGTAACATGTATATGAATTTGTGTATGTGTGCACAGTCAGGGATGAAAAAATGTGACATTTGTGGTGATAAAGGATAGATTATTCTCAGAAAGAATAGGGCTTAATTTGTATGTACGATAATAGTGTGAAATGTGAATAATATTATAACAATCTACCCGATGCTCAATTTATTTGAAATTATCAAGTCAAACCTTGGTAATGATACCTATACTTTTAAAATTTGTTGGATTCCAATTAAAAAATTTCTGATTTGATCTATTTAATTAGTTAAAACGTTTATTGTTATCATTTTTATTATTGGCTTATCTTGTGACCTTGTATTATGTTAGTTATATCTTAGTTCACAAATTTGTGTTTTGTATCCAAATCACATTTTAAATGAAAATTTACACTTTTTTGTAGGATACAATGGCGTTAATCATGGTATTGAGGTGAATGATTTCAACGTTAATTTTTCACGTGAACACTTGGTGACATTTTTGTCTGAATGTGATGCACCTTTCGAACGATCTTTTTGTCCTCCGGTATTCCTACATGGGAATATTTTAGATTTAGTCGTTCCCTCAGTCCAACAGCCGATTATGGTTGAAAGACTGAATAATTTCCAACAACCTTCTGAAATGATTCAAAATAATCTAGATACTCATTTAGATAACAGTGTTATTAATTCTGAAGATATATGGACTTCAGAAGGAAACCAAAATCATTCATCGGACGCTACAATGGAAGTAGAGGGAAATGATCATGGGGTAAGCGAAAATACCTATCAAAATGGTGATCTGGATACTAATAATAATGATAATAATAATAATAATGACAACGAAAGCGAATCTGATCTTATCAAGTGGGAAGAAGAGTTTATTGTTGGATCGCCACCTTGGATACACCCAGATAGTAGTCATCCATTATGTGATCAAACAGGTAGGTGTTTATAGTCACCGCCGGTGGATCATTATCTTATTAAAATTTTTTATAAAATGTAGTTCCACAAGCAAGTACATGGTCATGTAATCAGCTTTCAGCTACACTATGTAAAAAAGCTAATAGCACTATCTGGTTGTTCAAATAAATTAGGTAGAGCCAGTTTTAATGCATAGTCTAGTGGCTAAACATCAAATGCACTAATCACTTAGCCATCACTCCATTACATATTTTGTAAGCCCATTTAAAATTAAAAAAGACCTGTACATTTTCATCTATGTTTAGCTTTACTATTGTCCTCTTTGTTTAACTTCCTCAGATACAAACATACCACGCTGGCCAGTATATGATCGGATATATGTGGGAGCTGCCGTTACTAGCCGTCTTCACTTACAATCCATACTACGATTGCTCAAAGTCGGTGGTATTCTAGTCGTTCCTTATCGAGATAAAGTAAGAAATAATCTTTAAATTTCTGTTCAGGCGATAGTTGTGTGTAAATAACTCAAGAACTTCTAAAATGTCTACATGCTCACCGAGTCCAGTCTTCATTTTCACAGTCATGCTATTTGAAGTTTTTTGATCATTTTAGAGAGTGATGGTAGATTGTCTAATCGTTCCACTTGCTCAAAAATACTTTCGTATTCGGTCATATCCTATGTAGTAACCCCATATACACTCGGAGCAAAAGACCAATTAATCGAATTTAATGTCATATATTGAGTTGAGATTACAGACTGATACAAAAAGTTGTGTGAGTTTATCCAACTTTTACGTGTGTAATTATTTTAGGTTATATTATATGCATTCCCATATAACTAACTCGGATCTTCTATCCATGTACGTTTCCTACGTGTTTTTGTTTATGTTCGCTCATTTATATTACTCTTTGTCTTTTTGAACTATATTAGCTGAGACATAAACTGATTTTAGTGATTTTTCTGTCAATGTTTCGCCGCTCTCTATCTATCTGCACGACATGTACGCATCCCAAATACATTCGTATTCGACTTATTTTACTGTTATCGCTAACGTGATTTAGTTAAAGTTTATATACAAAGTTCATTACAGAGCTACATTTTATCATTGTCATCGAACGGGGTCAACTAACGATGCTAAAAATTGATGAACCCTTTAGCCATACATCTCATTTTTCAACACACATTCAAGGAAGTCTAGATTGTTGTGATATGTGGTTTTACTACTAAGGACTAGAACCTTTTGTACAAATATTGGTCAAATTTTAGACGAATAGTTTGACAGAAATTTGATGTCTGCTATATAGAAGATATTATATGCACAAACTGTATTTGAAATAACCTAACCGATTAAAATTCAAATAGTTTCAACTTTTCGCCCAGCGAGTTTGTCTGTATTTCTTCAGAGTAATAATCAAAATCAAAATTATTGAGGAATATTTAAGGTTTAAAAACATTTACATCAAACACTTATTCAATCGTTTACAAATGTTGATTTGTTATAGAGTAATAACAATGAGAATCTTAAGATGTGGAAAGTGTTCATAATATGATAAATGAATGTGTGTGTACTTGCATGTTATCGTTAATTAAAATTTAGTGATTAGGTGAAGCCTTTGTCTGTAACAAAGGAAATCATAACTGTTTTATCCATCATCAAGTTAACGGTACATATGAGCATTTAAATCGTCAAAATGTCTGTAGAATAAAAAGACATATAGTCAGTTGTCATGCTGAACACCAAAAATGATTGGAAATAAATTTAAATCACCATATTTGGCTGGATAATTAAGCGTTCATTTATTGTTGTAATCAAGCTAAAGGTAATATAATCAGGGTGAATAATAAATTTAATTAATTGTTAATCAACATCTGTCGAGAGGGTGGGTAATTATTTCAGAAAAAATTCTTGAGCTTCCTTATCTATCGCGGACTACGAAATATATTTCAAACATTGTTCTCAAACATTGTTCAAGCTCACATTCAGTGGCCTGAAGTTTCTCTTACATATACTCCATTACACTTATGACGTTTAGTTTCATAGACAACTTCCTTTTACTCTTTTCGTGGGCTGTCCTTAACTTTAGCCAACGTCTTCCTTACGGTATCACTAGTGCAGAAATAAACTCTCACATCATGTTTCTTTAAAATCCACTTGATTTATTCTGATGTTTCTTTATTACGCCGACTGCCTACAGGATGAATACGAAATTTATTTTCATTTCATTTTTGACATTCTTTTTCGAAAGATAAAGGCTAATTATTTCGCTCAATACAAAAAAGACTAAATTTAATTAAATTGGTTTGTCGTTAGTCTCTGTAATAGGATAAGTACACTAGCTAAACAGTTTTCTGACAACCGTGTGCTTCGTAGAACGAGCGAGTACCGACCCATAATCAACATACTTAACCACTTACGCCTGTTAACCCTCTTAGCCCGAAATGAAACGGAAAAGAGGAAGGCCAAAGAATACACTACGTCGGGAAATGGAAGAAGACATGAAAATGACAAATAGCAGCTGGAAAGGATTGTCCAGGACGGGGCTGGGTGTAGAGTACTGGTGGGCGGCCTATGCTCCTCCAGAAGGGGTAACGGGCATAAGGAAGTTAACACTCTTGGAGGAACTTAGGCTGCACACCAGAGTTCTCCAACTATATCCTGCGAAATCCTTTCCGGTTGCCATTCATTCTTTTGATGTCCGCCTCCGATTCCCGACACAATGTTTTCCTTGGTTTTCCTCTTTACCATATCCCGTCGGGCTTCCAAGTTAGCGATTACGTCGTGATGCAGTTTGATGATGTCCACAATGAATGTCTCATCTACCTCCATCAAATATTCCTAATTTCCTCCTCAACTGGAAGTTGGTTTGTTCTTTCCCACAGTAGGCTGTTGCTGATAGTATCCGACCGGTCGACATTGCGTATCTTGCGTAGGTAATTGTTTAAATATACTTGTACTTTCTTAATGACGGTTGCGGTAGTTCTCGAAGCTTCGGCTCCGTACACTGGAACTGTCTCGACGTTCGTATGGGAGATTCTGACTTTAGTGTTGGCTGACATTTGTTTTGAGTTCCATATGTTCTTCAACTGTAGGAGTGCTGCCCTTACTTTGCCAATCCTTGCCTCTATGTATGCATCAGACCTTGTCTGACACTGGTCTTCACTTGGAATGCATTTATTAACTTGCCTCCATGTATGGTTTTGAAGTGTAGTCCGTAGTAAGAATTCCGGATGATGCTGACGATTTTCTCAGGCGTACTTCAGTGCTTCAGGTGGTATGTTGTCAGGTGTCACTGCTTTCCCATTGTTGATTTGTCTGATGGCCATTCTGACTTCCTCGATCGTTGGTAGAGTGACATCTATAGGAAGGTCTGTGTGTGTTGCTTCGATGTCGGGTGGATTTAATGAAGCTGGTCTATTCAAGAGTTCCTCAAAGTTCTCTACCCATCTGTTCCTCTGTTCTTGAATCTCCGTGATTGTCTTGCCTTGTTTATCCTCGACCGGTATTTCTGGTTTACTGTATTTCCCTGCTAGTCTCTTTGTTGTGTCACATAGTTGTTTCATATTTCCTTCTCTTGCACCTTTTTCCACTGTCGTTGCTAGGTCTTCTACGTATTTCTGCCTGTCAGCTCAAATGCTCCTCTTCACTTGCTTGTTTGTTTTTGTGCATTTGGCGTGTGCCCTGACTTTATCTATTCTTGTTCGACTGTTGTTAATCGCTATCTTCTTGTTCTTTCTTTATTGAATCTTATACAGGGTTTCGATAGAGATCTGTTCCTTATGATGATGCTTGTTGCCACCCAGCACTTCCTGACACGTTGAAGATAGTGCTTCTTTGATCCCTTTCCGAACGTCTTGTATAATAGTTTATTCTTCTGTGAGTAGATCTCGTTAGACTTGGAACCTGTTGTTGAGAGTTATCTTGAATTGGTTGAGTTTGTTAATATCATGAAGTAGGGCTGTATTGAACATTTATAATGCTGTTTCCTCAGTTATCCAGTGTTTTTTTAGCTTCAGTTTCGTCTTAGCCACAATCAGGTGGTGATGTGAAGCTATGTTAGCTCGTCTCCCGGTCCTCACGTCTTCCATTGTCCTTCTGAATTTTTCATTGAAGCATTTATGATCGGTCTGGTTCTCTGTAGTGTGAATGCACATAAATTTGCAAAAATCGGTCACAATTCTCGTCTCTCTCTCCCAGTCCATATGGTCTCGTGATATCTTCATATTCGGTGTTGTCCATCCCAAATTTGCCGTTCCAATCTCCCATCAGGATGGTCAGGTCCTTTCCTGATCACTTCTCTATGATCGATTGTAGCCTCTCATAGAACTGATTTTATTGTCGTAGTTGCTCTCATTGGTGGGTGCATAACATTCTGTGTGATTCCTTACTTGTTTGTTTTGAAGGGTGCTTTGATGATCGTGGGTCCATGAGAGACACCCATCCTACAAGTGCTTTGCGTGCTTCTTTGGACAGCGTCAGAGCAACTCTCTGATTGTGCGGAGCATTTTCTTCTTCGTGACCAGAGTACAGCAGCATCTCTCTGGAAGTTAATCTTTTCTGTTCAGTTTGGGTCCAATGCGTTTCACTGATCCAGAGAACCATCAAGTTGTATCTCTTGATTTCCGTAGCTATTTGATTGTTCATTCTGGTGTCGCACATGGTCCGAACATTCCATGTACCTATATTAATTGTTGCTCTGGTTGCTGGAAGGAGCATGGGTCTCGTAACTTCCTAAGAATATCGGCGTTCACCATGAGGCGTCATAATTCTTCTTAATGAAAATCGTTCAACTCTCAGGGAAAAGTTTGAATAGTTTAATTTGTTTATTCTGGTTAGCGTTTTTAGCAAGTTTGTTGTCTTTATGATAGAGGTTACTGACCACATTATCAACCCTTCTTTACTCGAGCTTGGGACCGACAGTAACCCTAGAAGTACTACAGGCGGAGTTGACCCATCATCTTACATTTTCTTAAATGTACTAGTTATCATTTGTTATTATTATGGTTGATTAATATGTGCCTTATATATTTTCCGAAAAATGTTGTATATATATGCTGCAGCATATTTAATTTCTTAGTGAAACGAATAGTCGAAATTATCCGTATAATAAAAGGCATTTTTACGGTACGTGTATTATTAATAGTCTCTAATAGAAAGGATAATCCTTCCAATTTTTGAATGCTCTTAGTCACAAAGTTGTGAACATATATTGCAACGAATTGGTATTTAATTCAGGTGATTATTTAAAGCAAAAACTGATTTGCATTGTATGAGATTAGTTCGCTTAATGAGTTGGTCGCCTATTGATTAAAGCATTTGACTTTCATCTACTAGGTTGCAAGTTCAGATTCTGCGATACTTACTTTAGTTTAGACAAATGATTAGTATTACTAGCCTTTCACAAAAGTCAGTGCTATAGATTAAATACACAACCGCCCTCAAATGCCCTGGTACGGTCGAGGGTGGGGAGAGTCAGCTTTCCTTCACTAAATGCTCTCACACGGTCACGCGTATACAGCCACTGTCAGAGAACTACTCACCGCCTTCTTGCGGCGGGGGTGTTGTTTACGAAATCGAGAGGACAAAAGTGAATGTCCAGCGTTTAAACCGGGCTGATGGATATGAAGGATCCACCCTGGGGAGTTGGAAAACCCTGATTCCAAACCAATGGTGCACATGAGCTCCAGGATCCTAAGGAAACAAATGGTGTATGAACCAATTGTTGGTCACCAGTTACCATGGGACTGCATCTCCGTACCTTGCTCCACTGCCTTGTGGATCAGACCTTTAGGTCAAACGCTCCGAGTGTGATCCTCCAAAGAAACTACCTGCTCCAGTCTGGGCACCCGAGCAGTATCATAGCCCACACACAAATAAAATGAAATGACAATAATGACTGGAAATACTGTTCGTGCTGCAATTAAAATTCAGGCAACTCACATCCATTTTAGTGTGGCGCA